AGCCCATTTCTGATGTCAGCCGTAATTAAAACAAGTCTGAAGAATTGAGACAATGTGTGGTGCAGAGAGGTTTTTAATCTTTCAGGAGGAACCAGAAACTGAAGGCTATATATGTACAAATTCAGCAGAAAATGAAAGGATAAAATTATCACTTTATGGAATTGTTAGGATAGAAAAATGTCAAGAGGACTAGGGTAGATTATCCAACATGAAATGAAGATAAATCAACCAACACAACTTAACACACTTCTTGGGTACCGAATTTGTGCAGGGCTGTCTACAAAGTACAGAGGAAAATAGAGAGGGATGCGGGTAAGCATTCATGTTAGCAGAGGGTTCACAGTCTAGGTAAAGAGGAAGACAGTAAGTACCTGGCAAGGGCTTCAGGATCTATACAAGGCATTTCTCCACGGGGAGTACATGCAGCCAGAGGGGACAAGGGACAGGGAGAGAAGTTGGTACCAGAGACCCTGGGAGCTGGTGGGTCAGAGGGAAACACTATAAACCAGGGGAGGGAAAGATCCTTAGATGTGTCAAGTCCAGAATTTCTCTGTTGTTTTACAATTCAAGTATTTGGGGATTGGCTGTTTCTCTAAAATACCGCTTATAACCTGCTGGTTTATCCTTGCACATCAGAAAAGCAGACTATGCCACAGGGCACCAGTAGGCCCAGGCTTGCCAGGTGCCCAGGGCTCAGCAGTGAGTGATGAAGAAATCTTCCTCCCAGCCGGCCCTACTTGGCAGGGCCACGTAAGCAATGCTTGTTAACTGATTTTCAGTAAGTGCCCTACGTACGAACCTTCAAGTATCAAACTTTCCCAGAAGAGAACGTGCGTTTTTATGTCCAATCACGTGAGTTAGTTCACATGTCCGGCGTACAGTCACGTGAGCACATCCTCTACGAGTGGTTGTGCTTTTGTGTACTTTACTGTACTGCATAGAGTACAGTAGCACAGTATCTTTATTTCAAGCTAGATCTGCGAGAGGACAACTTCACTGAACTTGCTGTGCAACACGAGCTTACTAATGAAGATCTGATGGAATCTGCCTCCAGAGAAAGGACGAAGAGAGACGAGAGGAAGAAGTAAACTGAAAAGCTGAAGAGATTCACGACGCAGGAGACGGCAAGGGGATTTTCTGTATTTGAGGAGGCACTGTGAGTTTCTGAGGCACAGGACCTGAACGTAGACTGGTAGACAAAGGTTGCAGCAGCCATTCAGAATGCAATCCAGTGCTACCGTGTCATCTCTGAGGAGAAAAAAAGAGCTACTACCCAGACATCACTGGATCGTTTTTTCAAGAGGGTAGGTAGACTTGAATTCAGCAAGGAACCAGAACCTGTGCCATCCACGTCAGGCGTGCGTGAAGTTGCCGCTTGCCCTCCGTCTCGTATCGCTGACGATCCTTCAGCTCTACCATCACCCACCTCCTCTCCCTCCTTCAGTCAGTAACTCTTCTTGCCAGTTCACTCGATGCCAGCCCCTGGATGCCAGCTGTTGTACTGTACTACTGGGCTTTTCAAGGTACTGCACTGTAAGATTAAAAATATTTTCTTTATTTTTTGTTTGTTTTTTTATGTATTATTTGTGTGAGAATATTCTAAACCTATTACAGTACAGTACTATATAGCTGATTGTGTTAGTTGGGTACCGAGGCTAACTTTGTCGGACTTATGAACAAATTGGACTTACGAACGTGCTCCTGGAACGGAACTTAAGTACTGTGTTTGAGCCAACACTTGTCGCCTTGAACAGGAGTGAACATTTAGGTTTTCAGCAGTTCAAGGATTAGTGTTCAACAAAACTGAAGGTGAGTGAACTGGAGACAATTAGAAACATCTTCGATATTTCTGTTTCAATGCCTGAGTATCCTACAGCCATACAAGTGGATACTACATGAGGGTAGAAGTGATCGGGGATAGTTCTGGCATTAAACATGATAAGAAATTAGGTCCAGGGTATATTAAGTGAAAAGAAACATGTTGCACAACAATATATCTAATATATGCCAATTTTTTAAAAGCTCCATTACGCGTTTGGCATTTCTCTTAGTTTTGTTCACCTCCATTATTTCAGACTCTGGAAATTCTCTTTCATTCTTCCCTTAAAATATAAAAACTGCCATGAAAACACTATGGTCAGAGGCAAGGCAGTCTGCCCAGCTGAGGACAGTGTGTACCTGCTAGGACAGTGTGATGTCCTTCACCTGCCACTTACAGTGTCACCGTGTCTGCAGTCTACCTATGTGAGTGGCTTGGTCATAACCAAACCAGACTGTGTATGTATATATGTATGAATGTGTGCCTGCTTGTGTTATACATGGAGAGAAAGCAAGTGTGGTAAAATATCAACAACTTAACATTTCTAGGAGTGTCCATTCTATTTCTTCAACTTTTCCATGTTTAATTCTTTTCAAAATAAAAAGCTGGGGAAAAGAAATAAATGTTCCCTGGACTTGAAGCACCACCCCAAAACTTCTTAATGTAGGTAGACTTACTAGACCTTACTAGGCATAAGGTGGCCATGGCCACTTACTTTTATAACTTATTATTTTTAGTTTTTAATTTTTTTACCTTTTTTTTTTTTTTGGCCTTGCTGCATGGCTTGAGGGATCTTAGTTCCCTGACCAGGGATCAAGCCCGTGTCCCCTGCAGTGGAAGTGTGGAGTCTTAACCACTGGACCACCAGGGAAGTCCCCCTGGCAATTCTTGAACTTGTCTGGACACCTGTGAACTCCCCATCTTACTGATTGTTCCACTGGATGAAGGCCAGACAATCCACCGACTCCCAGTCTTTCAAGACACGAAGACTAAACCAGAGGCAAAATGACATTCTGATGCTCCACTTTTAAGGCCAGGGCTGTGTGGGTTTTCCTGGTGGACCCTGGCATGTTTAATAATTGCATGGTTCACTGTGGATCTTTAATGAGAAAAGGTACAAATTACCGTTCAAAGTAAATTGTATTGTCTACACAGCCATTCCCTAATAGAGGAAAAGGGTGAGTTGGTGTGGACATGAGCAGCTCAGGGAGATATATACACACTTAAACACACGTGCACACACGACAGTTAAGTATCTGAAGCATCAATATCTGTGCTTGCTTTATTACTTCTAAAAATTAAGAATAGTCTAGTATAGCTATTCTGGTCTTTCTTTACAGAATAACACTGTAAAATTTAGAATTCAGATTAACTCTTTCAAGGGCAATGCTAAATTCAGGCTGGAAACTGCTGGCTTATACATCTACAATCAGAATGATTTTGAAACACTCGCATTTATAAGGCATGCAGAATTTGGAAACTACAATATACTAAGTTATTTAAAAGGCATGCAGAATTTGGAAACTACATAAGGCATGCAGAATTTGGAAACTACAATATACTAAGTTATTTAAAAATACTGAGCCCCAAAGTACATATTGCTTAACACAGTATTTGTTTCTTTTCCTGGACTGAATCACAATAAATCCTTCAACACAGCCTGTGCAATTAACAGACCCAGCTTTGATACTCACTGGCAAATGACTCGTTTCCTGAAAGAATTACTGAGCTCCCCAGGGTCCAGGCTCTGTAGGCTGTCCTCACCAATGCCGTGCATTCTAACAAACTGTACTTTTGGATGCCAAAACATCATACGGTTGAAAGGCAATAAATCTCTATACCAAGATGAACATGCCTCAGTGTGAAGTTTTAAAGTGCTACCAGAAAGTCAAATAATTGCCTATTTATTAACTGTTCACCGAATTTTAAAATAGTCTCCATAGACTTTGCCAAGAACTCAAATACTCAGTGACAATCACTTGATTCTTCAAAGAACGTGCAAGATAACTTGGGGGGGTTTTCTTTGTTTTGTTGGACCCAGATGTCAATAAACGGAATGGTCAAGACTTGAAAATTCCCGGAAAAGCTTGTGGTAAAAGCAAGGTCTCTCCCTCCCTCGGTGCCTCTGCAACGAGTGTGCCTAGCCACGCAGGGTGCTCACTTAAGCAGGCTTCCCTAGTCCCACACCCCCCGAATTCTGATGCTGTTGGCCTGCAGTGGGCCCAACAGTGACTGGGACAAGCATCCCCAGGTGATTCTGATGCAGGTGTGACGTGGACTCGCTCTCTAAGAAACACCCCTTTAAAGCCCCGTTCTTCCAACTCGATTACACGGACTTCTAAGTACCCAGCATTTTCTCTTTATAAACATGAATCTTCACGAAGATGATTTCCTCAAGTGCATCATTCAATTGGCTCACTTCCTCTCAGCAGACCTGCCACCAAGGAAACCATCAGCATTCATGAGACATGATCAACATTGAAAGTAGTTCAGATTTAGCCGTCACGCCTGTATTTAAAGAAAGAAAGAAAGAAAAAAAGCTCAACAGTATGTTTCTCTTACTCAGGTTTCCAACACATTTTATTTTGCAGACCACCTGCTTGTAGCTTTTGAGGACCAACATGGGTTTCAATTCCTATAAAACGTCCAGTTAATTTCAGTTCTGCGGCAGCCCCTCGGTCCCGCGCACCGAACTTATGGCTTGAGTTCCAGTAACACGTGTGAAGAGGCTGCGCTTTGGCCCCTGAAGAAGGACGCGTCCAGGGCGGAGCCTCTTCCAGGGCTTCGCCTCCCAGGTGGTGGTTTCCTTTGGCAAGAAGTCTGGCTGTTCTCTCGGCTTCGGCGCCTGCAGGCAGGAAGTGCTCAGAAGCTTCCAGCGCAGACGCGTGAGGCATCAGTGCACTTGTGCTCGAGGACAGGAGCCCCCTCCTACTCCTTCCATAGGGGAAAGTATAAGGAAGGCTCTATTTTTAAGTTAACACCGATAAACACCTTTTTAGATTGCCTATTTGTTCTAGAACTACAAAATTTACCTCAAGAAAATATAGGTCCCATGAAAGACTTAAAAGTTTTATAAAACTAAAATCTAGTTTTCCCCCAATAAACTGTATTTTAGCCAAAACCCTCCCGATGCTTCTAAAATAATACTAAAAGGGGCATCTGATTATACAAGAGCAATAACAAAAATTAAATATTTATTTGAATAACAAGTTGAAGTCCGAGCTGCACAGCTGGCGATACGCGTTTCCACACAGATCACAGGAAGCGTGCACGGAAAAGTACTGGCGCAAAGGACAAAATAATGCTAAGGATCAGGCTAATTAGCTGCTGATTTTAAGAAATCAAAAGGCCTGAAATCACCATACAAAATATAAAATGTATTAAACACTACTATCCACAGAACAGTCTTTATTTTTGATTATATTTAAAAATTATTTGTGTAGCTAATTATATGTTGACTTGTAAATGAGTATTATACATGAACCCCCTTTCGGAGGGCAATTCCTTGCTGCGCTATCGAACATCTAATTACATTGCAGAAAGTGTCCTTTTTTGCTATTGATAAAGAAAACAGTTAATATTACTGTAAGTATTAGGAAGGCTACAAAAAAAAGAAGTAACATTTCTTTTTTGTCTTCAAAGTGCTTCCCATGCAGAGTTAAGCACTTGCCTGGTTTAACTGAATGCACTCTTGGGTCAAAGAGATGCTACGGAATTAGAAGACTCAAAGGACTCATGCAACCCTCTCGCTACTGGGATACCATTTTGTCACTCACTCACCAATTCTGTCTTTCCAGAATACCATTCCAGACACTTCAAAAAGGGTCAGACTGATAATGATAAATATACACAAAATGAAAAGACACAAACTGCTATTTGACACTACAATGGGTAATGTCTGTGCTACGTGAAAGCACCTTTAAAAAGAGCCTACTCGGCAAGAGATAAGTGTCTAAAGATTCAAAATGAATCAACAGTATTGGATAACAATATAATTCTCAACTCAGAAGCTGCCTCAAGATTAGGTGCATCTTCAGTTAATGTAACGGGAAAAAAAGGCAATGGATTTTATTTGATTAATTGCATCCACTCACAAATCGACCTAAGGTCACCAGATGTGTAGACACAATGAGATTTTTTTCATTGTTGTTTATAGTCTTTAATTGAAATGATGATAAAGGAAATAGAGCTATTTAAAAACAAAACCACACAGCTGCCTCGGCCTAGATTAAGAAGTGGCACCAGGTGTGGGGTTCACATTCTGGGTGGCCACCTGTGGCGCGACCTCGATGATCCGGGGTTTGTCGATGATCCTGGCCGTGCGGTTACCCTTCTCCACGATCCCAATAATCCATGCTTGGTGGCCTTCACCGTATTTGGGGGACTTTATCTCTGCGCAGAACCGAGCTGCTTGCTCACGCGGTAAACAGATTAGAAGGCCTCCTGGCAAAGGGAAAAAAAAGAAAAAAGGATGACCGTTAACTGCGATGCTGTGTCTGCAGTCTCCCTGCCACCATCTCTCTAGAAAACATCTGCCCTGAGCTACATTCTACAAAGAGGCCGACTGCACTGCCTTCACCTCTTCCACACTGCGGAGTCATTAAGCAGCTCCTTGGTCAGCTCCTACTGTATTTCAAAACATACATAACAGAATTTAAATCATGAAAACGCCCCACCTGAGAATCGTCTGACGCTGTGGAGGTAGCAGTGAGGTGTTTGGGGCTCATTAATATACGTGGAGGCTATCTTTTCCAGGCTGCGCTGAAGGGATTATTTAAAAACAAAAGAGGGCTTCCCTGGTGGCGCAGTGGTTGGGAGTCCGCCTGCCGATGCGGGGGGCGCCGGTTCGTGCCCCGGTCCGGGAGGATCCCGCGTGCCGCGGAGCGGCTGGG